CAGTAGGTACAATGTACATCATATAAGAACATAGAAAAACATAACCTAACAAAATAAAATGTAGCAAGGAATTGTGTCTAACTTCAACACAATTCACATTAATCAATCTTCGATTATTTCTTATAATTCAAAAATGAGGAAGGAATGACTATAGATGGTTGATTGAGTTATAACTACCTAGGGATAAAGATTGAAAAAATAATGTATAAATAGGTACCACCTAAGTCTCAAATTCTCAAGTCCTAAGCTATTGATATAACTTTTGATTTAAAACGTTCAATTAGTTTTTTTAATCTATTAACTCCACGTRAGTTAAAAATATAGTGACTACCTATATAATATGAAAATTATAAGTTGAAATGAATAATRATATGTGCGATATAAGTATATATTTTGATCAGTTGTTTTATTTGTGACTTGCTGCAACTATTTATATGTATAAAACTAATAATATATTAATATCTACTAATTTACTACATATTATCATACAATGCTATGTTATTATGATAGGTATGCAACCAATGTTAGTAAATTTTTTTTTCGTAAGATCTCATTTATTCTAATACACATCATAGAAGAAAAATTATTCAAATAGGTCTATCCGTTTTGAATTAAAAGGTGAACCGACGGGAAGCATTTCATTGCTTATCGGCTATAATATGTATATTATARATCATATTATATTAAACTATTTTTTACTATTTTCTGTTTATACTCCTTATTTTTCTATTTTAAATGAATGATTTTCATTTTCATTTTCATTTTCAGATTTTGTTTATGATAATTGTCATGGTTAAATTTATCAATAAAAAAAACTTAAGATTGTTGATGGAGGGTGGGGGTGTCATTATTTGTAAAATTTTATAATTTTTTTTAAGTAATTAAACCAATTAATTATATTAAAATAACTCAAACAAAAAATATGTATTTGTCTTTTAACCTACCTATCTATTTATTTACTGAGTATATTATTCATTTTAATAATACAATAATATGGACAATAAGAAATTTATATTTATCTTATTATTGAAACCCTGCTTTTATTTATTTTAAAGTATATTTATTTATTGGTTT